ACAACAATGGACCACAAAAGGGCCATTAATACATACCATATTGACTTCAGATATAGCATCAAATCTTACAACAATGGACCACATAAGGCTCATTAATACATACCATATTGACTTCAGATATAGAGTCAAATCTTACAACAATGGACCACATAAGGCACATAAATACATACCATATTGACTTCAGGTATAGCGTCGAGGCTTACAACAATGGACCACATAAGGCCCATTAATACATACCATATTGACTTCAGATATGACGTCAAAGCTTACAACAATGGACCACATAAGGCCCATTAATACATACCATATTGACTTCAGATATAGCGTCAAGGCTTACAACAATGGACCACATAAGGCCCATTAATACATACCATGCATATTGACTTTAGATATAGCGTCAACTCTTACAACAATGGACCACATAAGGCTCATTAATACATACCATATTGATTTCAGATATAACGTCAAAGCTTACAACAATGGACCACATAAGGCATATTAATACATACCATATTGACTTCAGATATAGCGTCAAAGCTTACAACAATAGACCACATAAGGCTCATTAATACATACCATATTGATTTCAGATATAGCGTCAACTCTTACAACAATGGACCACATAAGGCTCATTAATACATACCATATTGATTTCAGATATAGCGTCAAAGCTTACAATAATGGACCACATAAGGCACATTAATACATACCATATTGACTTCAGGTATAGCGTCAAGGCTTACAACAATGGACCACATAAGGCCCATTAATACATACCATGTTGACTTCAGATATAGCATCAAATCTTACAACAATGGACCACAAAAGGGCCATTGATACATACCATATTGACTTCAGATATAGCGTCAACTCTTACAACAATGGACCACATAAGGCTCATTAATACATACCATATTGACTTCAGATATAGCGTCAAAGCTTACAACAATGGACCACATAAGGCACATTGATACATACCATATTGACTTCAGATATAGCGTCAAAGCTTACAACAATGGACCACATAAGGCCCATTAATACATAACCATATTGACTTCAGATATAGCATCAAATCTTACAACAATGGACCACAAAAGGGCCATTAATACATACCATATTGACTTCAGATATAGCATCAAATCTTACAACAATGGACCACAAAAGGGCCATTAATACATATCATATTGACTTCAGATATAGCATCAAATCTTACAACAATGGACCACATAAGGCCCATTAATAAATACCACATTGACCTCAGATATAGCATCAAATCTTACAACAATGGACCACATAAGGCTCATTAATACATACCATATTGACTTCAGATATAGCATCAAATCTTACAACAATGGACCACATACGGCTCATTAATACATACCATATTGACTTCAGATATAGCATCAAATCTTACAACAATGGACCACAAAAGGGCCATTTATACATACCATATTGACTTCAGATATAGCATCAAATCTTACAACAATGGACCACATAAGGCTCATTAATACATACCATATTGACTTCAGATATTGCATCAAAGCTTACAACAATGGACCACATAAGGCACATTAATACATACCATATTGACTTCAGATATATCGTCAAAGCTTACAACAATGGACCACATAAGGCCCATTAATACATACCATATTGACTTCAGATATAACATCAAATCTTACAACAATGGACCACAAAAGGGCCATTAATACATACCATATTGACTTCAGATATAGCGTCAACTTTTACAACAATGGACCACATAAGGCTCATTAATACATACCATATTGACTTCAGATATAGCGTCAAAGCTTAGAACAATGGACCACACAAGGCACATTAATACATACCATATTGACTTCAGATATAGCGTCAAAGCTTAAAATAATGGACCAAATAAGGCCCATTAATACATACCATATTGACTTCAGATACAGCATCAAATCTTACAACAATGGACCACAAAAGGGCTATTAATACATACCATATTGACTTCAGATATAGCGTCAAAGCTTACAACAATGGACCACATAAGGCCCATTAATACATACCATATTGACTTCAGATATTGCGTCAAAGCTTACAACAATGGACCACATAAGGCACATTAATACATACCATATTGACTTCAGATATAACGTCAAGGCTTACAACAATGGACCACATAAGGCCCATTAATACAAACCATATTGACTTCAGATATAGCGTCAAATCTTACAACAATGGACCACAAAAGGCCCATTTAAACATACCATATTGACTTCAGATATAGCATCAAATCTTACAACAATGGACCACATAAGGCCCATTAATACATACCATATTGACTTCAGATATTGCGTCAAAGCTTACAACAATGGACCACATAAGGCCCATTAATACATACCATATTGACTTCAGATATAGCATCAAATCTTACAACAATGGACCACATAAGGCTCATTAATACATACCATATTGACTTCAGATATGACGTCAAAGCTTACAACAATGGACCACATAAGGCCCATTAATACATACCATATTGACTTCAGATATAGCATCAAATCTTACAACAATGGACCACATAAGGCTCATTAATACATACCATATTGACTTCAGATATAGAGTCAAATCTTACAACAATGGACCACATAAGGCACATTAATACATACCATATTGACTTCAGGTATAGCGTCAAAGCTTACAACAATGGACCACATAAGGCCCATTAATACATACCATGTTGACTTCAGATATAGCATCAAATCTTACAACAATGGACCACAAAAGGGCCATTGATACATACCATATTGACTTCAGATATAGCGTCAACTCTTACAACAATGGACCACATAAGGCTCATTAATACATACCATATTGACTTCAGATATAGCGTCAAAGCTTACAACAATGGACCACATAAGGCACATTGATACATACCATATTGACTTCAGATATAGCGTCAAAGCTTACAACAATGGACCACATAAGGCCCATTAATACATAACCATATTGACTTCAGATATAGCATCAAATCTTACAACAATGGACCACAAAAGGGCCATTAATACATACCATATTGACTTCAGATATAGCATCAAATCTTACAACAATGGACCACAAAAGGGCCATTAATACATATCATATTGACTTCAGATATAGCATCAAATCTTACAACAATGGACCACATAAGGTCCATTAATACATACCACATTGACCTCAGATATAGCATCAAATCTTACAACAATGGACCACATAAGGCTCATTAATACATACCATATTGACTTCAGATATAGCATCAAATCTTACAACAATGGACCACATAAGGCTCATTAATACATACCATATTGACTTCAGATATAGCATCAAATCTTACAACAATGGACCACAAAAGGGCCATTTATACATACCATATTGACTTCAGATATAGCATCAAATCTTACAACAATGGACCACATAAGGTTCATTAATACATACCATATTGACTTCAGATATTGCATCAAAGCTTACAACAATGGACCACATAAGGCACATTAATACATACCATATTGACTTCAGATATATCGTCAAAGCTTACAACAATGGACCACATAAGGCCCATTAATACATACCATATTGACTTCAGATATAACATCAAATCTTACAACAATGGACCACAAAAGGGCCATTAATACATACCATATTGACTTCAGATATAGCGTCAACTTTTACAACAATGGACCACATAAGGCTCATTAATACATACCATATTGACTTCAGATATAGCGTCAAAGCTTAGAACAATGGACCACACAAGGCACATTAATACATACCATATTGACTTCAGATATAGCGTCAAAGCTTAAAATAATGGACCAAATAAGGCCCATTAATACATACCATATTGACTTCAGATACAGCATCAAATCTTACAACAATGGACCACAAAAGGGCTATTAATACATACCATATTGACTTCAGATATAGCGTCAAAGCTTACAACAATGGACCACATAAGGCCCATTAATACATACCATATTGACTTCAGATATTGCGTCAAAGCTTACAACAATGGACCACATAAGGCACATTAATACATACCATATTGACTTCAGATATAACGTCAAGGCTTACAACAATGGACCACATAAGGCCCATTAATACAAACCATATTGACTTCAGATATAGCGTCAAATCTTACAACAATGGACCACAAAAGGCCCATTTAAACATACCATATTGACTTCAGATATAGCATCAAATCTTACAACAATGGACCACATAAGGCCCATTAATACATACCATATTGACTTCAGATATTGCGTCAAAGCTTACAACAATGGACCACATAAGGCCCATTAATACATACCATATTGACTTCAGATATAGCATCAAATCTTACAACAATGGACCACATAAGGCTCATTAATACATACCATATTGACTTCAGATATGACGTCAAAGCTTACAACAATGGACCACATAACGCCCATTAATACATACCATATTGACTTCAGATATAGCATCAAATCTTACAACAATGGACCACATAAGGCTCATTAATACATACCATATTGACTTCAGATATAGCATCAAATCTTACAACAATGGACCACAAAAGGGCCATTTATACATACCATATTGACTTCAGATATAGCATCAAATCTTACAACAATGGACAACATAAGGCCCATTAATACATACCATATTGACTTCAGATATTGCGTCAAAGCTTACAACAATGGACCACATAAGGCACATTAATACATACCATATTGACTTCAGATATATCGTCAAAGCTTACAACAATGGACCACATAAGGCCCATTAATACATACCATATTGACTTCAGATATAGCATCAAATCTTACAACAATGGACCACAAAAGGGCCATTAATACATACCATATTGACTTCAGATATAGCGTCAACTTTTACAACAATGGACCACATAAGGCTCATTAATACATACCATATTGACTTCAGATATAGCGTCAAATCTTACAACAATGGACCACATAAGGCACATTCATACATACCATATTGACTTCAGATATGGCGTCAAAGCTTACAACAATTAACTCGATACCAATGTCCAGTCTTTCGCCTACAAAATACACAAACAAGTGTAAATATGTTATTATTTCAGAAGTTACGCGATCCTCCACTATTCCATTAAAAGCCACAAATATAATAAGCAATTTTATCCGTAAAGGAAAAGATATAAAAAACTTCTCCTGGATTTATTCAACACCAATATCATGTTCAAAAAGCCTTTACAGAAAATAGCTTTTTTAATGATTGTAATATCTAAATTACTAAGTAATTCGCTATTATCCTTTTTTGGTCACACGATGATGGTTCTAATTATGGACTTGCGATCCCATTTTAGGAAATTCAATGAAAAACGTATGTCTCATCCAGATTTTAGGGGAATAATGTGCAACGGTACTTAGTAGCAGAATACTTAGGCTGTATAATGCTTTGAACTCTGGGAAAAGAAACGTATCATACAAACAAGGATAAGTATGATTACATTACTTGTACGCGTTAAATCATACTAGTCTATTGAAGTTGTTGAAAGCCTTACATTTCATTCAAAAACACAATTGAAAGTTCATTAGTTTAATATAATTATGTTGGCTGCTTGTTCTCAAAGTGATAAATTACGGTTAACGGTTCCAAGTATTTGAGGATACAATGCACAGAGGACATAATATATTATATTCTTCAATTTAAAAGATTTCATGGGTTTTATCACTGCAAATTCATAACAAACCAATATGTATATGTTCATGTAAGTACCGAGGTTCTGAACTACTGGTTAAAAAGTGTTCCACGTGAAATTAGGCTTGATACAAATTTATCGAACAAAAGACCAATAAAAAAAAAAACTCTTACTAGATGACTCGAGAGGAATCTGAAAAAAAATGAAAAAACAACAACAACTACACAAGCTGTAATCAGGTAACGAATTTTAATGATACTTCTGCTCTGTTTCATCAAAAAGAATGGTCGACGTAGATACAAGTATCTTGTCTAAGGGAGGGATAAATCGTACATATTATAAATCACTCTGATTCTAACAAAAAATTCTCTAAAACTGACATTATCAAGATGCTTGATTTCTTCATTGACAACATATTTGTTACGTTTGTGGGACGTGTTTTCCACCAACAATTGGCATTCCCATGAGAACCAACTGTGCCCCTTTCCTTGCCAACTTGTTCCTTTATTTATATGAGGCTGACGTCATACAGGAACTTTTTAGGAGAAAAGAAAAAGTTAGCAGTATCCTTTAACGTCACTTTCTGATATATAGATGATGTTCTCTCACTAAATAATTCAAATTTGGTGACTTGATAGAGGGTTGCTACTCACAAAGAAGCTACTAAACTAAGAGTTCCAAGTGTTGAAGTTGAAATCATTTCTTCGTAAATTTTACGGACGCCATCACGAGTTGGTTGACCGTTATGGAATATCTGTTTCACAGATGACGACGGATATGTTCCAATAGTCGTGATTACAATCCCGCCCCCTCCCCCCCCCCTTTTTCCCGAATGTGACTTACCGAATTAGACTTATAACCGGGTATGTACTGATATGAGCAACACGACCGGTGCCAAATGTGAAGCAGGATCTGCTTCCCTTCTGGACCACCTGAGATCACCCCATGTTTTTTGTTGAGGATAGTGTTACTCAGTCTTTAGTTTTCTATGTTGTGTTTTGTGTACTGTTGTTTGTCTGTTTGTCTGTTTGTCTTTATTCTTTTTAGCCATGGCGTTGTCAGTTGTTTTCGACTTTTTGAATTTGAATGTCCCTTTTGTATCTTTCGCTTCTTTTTAAACGTGTTATAGTTGTTTGCGTTTTTTCTTAGGGTGCGTGATTTATTGTTTGTCCATACAGCTGTCTCGTTCATTTTGATTTGTTTCAGTTTTAAGTTACAGCAATTTATTTTTTATTTCATTTTCTTGAGTTTAACAAAAATCCGTGTCTGTTTTATTCAATACATCACGGAACGCACTATTCATTATATAATTATGCTTTTTCAATTCATCGTGGAATACACCACATTTCTGATATCTCATACTTTCAAAATGCTCTAAACGAGCAGAAAAGGGACTAAAAGCGGACTAATATCTGATACTACTAGCCTTCCGTCATCTTCATTGGTTGAATATAGTCGGGATAAATATTTTTTCTTGGGTAAAAATATTTTTACTTAGTTTCACAAAAACTTTCTAAAATCTGCTATGGTACTGAATTTATTTTTCCTTCCCTTTCTGTGTAACTTTTACTGACAAACGTTGAAAATACTTTCCCTTACATAATTCAATATTTGATTACGTAACATTAATTCACTCATAAACTTGTGGATGCACTTTGTAAATTCATTTTATAGTGAAATTAGTTTTTGATTTATTGACGTTCACTTTGACAGAAAATCAGTTCCTAATCACATGCATGATTTAGTGCATGCATAATATAATACTTCGTATTTATTTACAGTTTAAAATGACTCGTTTGTTTGAAGGCTTATTGAGTTAAAACAGACTGTTTCTGATCCAATATGGTATATGTACGCACGGTGTCAGGAATTTCACAAGGGATAATCTGAAATAGATTTTCTGTAAAACGGATATGTAGAATGCAATAAAACATATATATTACGGATTTAAAGTGATTTTACGTTCAACGAATATGATATTTTTATCGAGTAATCACAAAAAGCGACACCAATCCTCTGAAGAAGAATTTACGGTTTATAACGATAGACAACTGTCTATGCAATATGTCAAACTCCAATTCAACTAAAATCTGGATAAGTTTTTAAAATCAATCAAGACTACCGAACACATAATTCTTTGAAGGGCAAATAAACATGTAGCGAGGTTGATTAACCACATGCTAATTAACATTTAGCGAGGTTTTGAATAACCACAGACACATCAACATGAAGCGAGATTTTGGCTATAACCACAGGGTCATACCCATGTGACGAGACTTTGAATAACCACAGGGTCATACACATGTAGCGATGCTTTGAATATAACGGGCTCATTAACGTGTTGTGAGATGAGGTTTTGACTAACCACGGGCACATTAACATGTAGAGAAGTTTTGACTATGACCTCAGGCACATTAACATGTAGCGAGATTTTGACTATAAAACAGGCACATAATCATATAGCGAGTTTCTGAATATAACAACAGGCACATAAACTATAGCGAGGTTTTGACTATAACCACCGGCACATCAACATGTAGAGAGGTTTTTAATAAGCACAGGCTCATTAACGTATTGTGAGATGAGGTTTTTACTAACCACAGATTCATTAACAAGTAGCGATGATTTGACTAATCAGACTCATTACCATGCAACTTGGTTTTGACTGACCACAGGTTCATTAACATGTAGCGAGGTTGATTGACCACAGACTCATAAACATGCAACATTGTCTTTAAGCTGTCCTGATTAAAATTAATGTAGAAATCTTCACTCGAACCTACAAAAAGGTTACCTTTCTAGTGAATGTTCGCAAGATGTGAACATTTAGTTTATGATTGTACCATAAGCCTTGTAATACTCCTCCTAAATATGTATTTACCTCCATTAGATTTCAAAGTATATCCAGCAACAAGTGTTATCATAAAAAAAACATGACAAAACCGGGAATAAGGTCAAATTGATAATAAACATATGGAGTTTATGACAAGGCTAACGGGTGTTTAGAAAGTTGAGACATTGTAGCGATCAGCCAATTCGTGATGGCAACGGTAGAGCTTATCGGTCCTTTTATCTAGAGTTGAATCGTCCATCAATGTCAATTTCTTGAGAAAAAAAAGATATGAATTAAATATCCGTGTCCCTACACTATTCTTTATTCCAAGTACACTCAGCATAATATATGAGATATCAGCACTCACTGATAAAAGGTTTTTTGTAATGAAGAAAATGAACAATATATCTAATACAGATATTTATGAATTTTACTAGATATTTTCTTCCTCTTATTTTCAAATGGCTTTATGTAGTTTCTGCTTCATTTAAATACTTTCGTTCGTTGTTTTGTAGATTAGGCCGTTAGTTTTCTCGTTTGATTTGTTCATTGTTTTGCACATAAATCATGCCGTTAGTTTTCTCGTTTGATTCGTTCATTGTTTTGTACATAAATCAGGCCGTTAGTTTTCTCGTTTGATTCGTTCATAGTTTTGTACATAAATCAGGCCGTTAGTGTTCTCGTTTGATTCGTTCATTGTTTTGTTCATCAACAAGACCCTTAGTTTTCTCGTTTGAATTGTTTTACATTTGTCATTTCGGGGCCTTTAATAGCTGACTATGCTGTTTGGATTTTGCTCATTTTTGAAGGTCGTACGGTGACCTTTAGTTGTTATCTTCTATGTCATTTGGTCTCATTGGCAATCATACCACATCTTGTTTTTATAGAAAAAATGGAAAAACAAGTAAGGAGGGAACACAAAAAGTACCAAGTGAAATACCAACTGCCTGAAAGAAATCAGCTTACTAAGCAAATTTGTTATTTGAATCATAAAGTTTCCAAACAAAAGAGGATGTCATCGGTCATTTACCCATTTACGAATGCAGGAAAACAATAGAAGAAAAACGTTAGGCGAGAATATGTAGTCGATCTTTCATCAAATTGGTAAAAGTGCAGTGCGGTCGCAAGTTTTAATAATGTTGCGAGATTAATAGTGATTGTTATTAAAGACATGCAGGTATATTTATTTGTAAAATTTTAGAATCCACATGACTAAGATTGCTGGTGTGATATACTTCTTCACACAATATTTGGAGATTTCTTAGTAAGAGATATTCTAAAAATCTTTGAAAAAGTTTATTGCTGCATTCAGGTGAAGGATCCAGAAATTGTCCGTTTGGACGTTAAACTGTTATTGTTTTTACTGAAGGGTTTAAAGTATTATAAAATAGTATCCAAGAAGTAATAGTTTGTTATTATTTTTCAGCTTGTTGGAAGACTTTTCTTGTCGTTGGACACATATGTCCTTACTGCGGTCTAACGACTCTGGACATGTATGTCCTATATAGCTTAGCGCAGTCAAAGGATAAACTTCATGTATTCTTCCACTATAAAGACGATGTCCTCTCACTGAATACGGCCTTCAACAATGATAAAAACGAATAATGTATAGCCATAAATGAACCTGGAATGAAAACTGTGAAACAAGTCGAAAGAAAAAAAACTTATAGCATGATTTACACTGCAACAGTGAACGAAAAAAAATATTTCAGAAAGCAACGAGCTTCAACCATTGGATTGTAGGTTTACTGCCTCGGACAGGCATATTAAGAATGAGGTGGAGTTTAACATATTTGTGATCCTTTGTCACACCCTTAACCTGGCACAATGGTGTTAAAAACGGCATAAGAAAAAAAAAACATATCAGTTTGAAAGGACATGACTCATCAGATCGGTACAAACATAAATACAATGTATTTTTTATATTTGCATAAACATATTTCAAATCTAAAAGGCAATCGTTACTCATTATGTAATTTACGACACATGGTTCATAAAGTAAATGATGTTTATGTCCACGTAAAACTGATTTAACTCCAGCTCATTTTGGACCTGTGTAAAGTCAGGGTATCTGGACCACGTGTTATTTGTTGTCGTTCGTCAGTGTTTGTAAGTCTATTTCTCGAAGGAGTCGGTTGTTGGCGTTTGTTGCGGTATGTTGAACTGTCCAATATTTAAGGGTATTCATGTCATCTTTTTAATGCAGAATTATACTTTAAACATGTTAAAACATAAGAAAACAAAAACAAAATGATCTGAACTCTAATATGTCATTTGAATTGTATATACGAAAAGGAAAGCGTTTGATGTCATGAATGCCGAGTAAATAAGCATTTGTATTGTTTAAGGTAGATCGGGTGTCTTCAGACTTTTTGGATTCACGGTAAAATAGAAGAACACAATCAGTCTGGTTCTTTAATAAAATATGCACATTTTTAGAGAGAATTGTAATTAATTTGAAAGACCTTTCATCTAAATGAAGAACATTGTGTGTTTTCATATTATTTCAACCTTTAATTTTTAAACAAACAAAAATATAATATATTTTGTATGATTCAATTTTTTTTGTACTCTGTCATATAAGGGAATATAACTCAATTAACCTTACTTCCTTCTCAGGTGCTCCGGAAGGGTTAGCAGATCATGCATCACATGTGGTACCCGTCGTCGTGCTCATGAAAGTACAAATCCGTCGATAAGTCTAATTCAGTAGGTCACATTTGGGGAAAGAGGATGGGATTGTGGTTACGACAATTGGAACATATAAACTTGAATGTTTGTTGATGAGAATGAAGATGTTTGATTTTATATTGTTTTGTTATAACACACAACGAAGATACGCAAAATCTGTGTGACTATTGATAAGAATATAGTCAATTTTTTTCTAAAAAATGATTTAGACTTAACTGACCAGTGTATAGCAATTTGACCACCGAAATCAATTTGATGTGATTCTTATTAAATTACTGAACGATGCAGCGAATCAAACAGGTTTACGAAGCGTGTAACTAATTAATGAAAAACATATAAATCACTTTTTTATCGACAGATACGACGAAAACTGGACGCAGATTTAATAATAATGAATGACAGATCACCAGTTAAAATATTTTGCTATAAATATTGAAAACAATGGTCTTACATTGAGATTGAATTCGGCTTTTGGTAGGTATTTTAGCTTCGGTTTTGTTATACTTGTAATTTTTAGTAAATTGGCTTTCTAAGCATAAACAATAGATAAACTGCAAAAACATTACGATAAGAGAGAAACTGGGGATTTTTGCCAAGATTTTCAGCTTTTGTTTAGCGACTCTGATTAGGCAATATTGAAGTAACAGTTCTGATAATACATATCTAGGCCACTGGATGACTGTTCACACAATGATAAGTAACACTGACCAATTCAATCTTTAAAGTGATAATCAAATTTAGATATATATAAATATCAATCAACATACCTCCAAAATTAGGCCTTAAACGGATGTCGTAGCTTTTCAATAAATTATCAAGAGTGGTTGATGTGTTGCGAAGCGGAGTAAGACATCCACTGAAATATAAAGAAATTGAGATTGATTAAGATGATATCCTGCTGTATGTTTTCTTCTTATTTTTAACGAGACAACGTAAATGTGGAATTTCATCACATATTGAGACCATATATATATTTGACTTCAAAAGTACTGACTATGATTCGTTTTATTTCATGTTCAAAGACATGAAGTTTTAATTGGTATGCTCTCTGGTGGATAGTTGTCTCATTGGCAATTATGCACCATCGATCTTCTAATTTTCAAATGGGTTTCATCTAGCTTGAACATATGATCCTGATTCCCATCCATACGACACAGGTTTCTATAAAAAAAAAACGTCACTCGCAACCAAAATTTGTAAAAATATTCAATTAATAAAATGTTTTGACAGCAAAGAAACGTAAATGACATAAACAAACTGTCAAAACCATTTAGCATTAAAAAGTTGGAACCTTAACTTAAATAAATTATATAATTCATGAACTGGAAATTTATATGACAACAATTTCATAACTTTTATAATGTCTGTAATAAAGCACTGTCTACAGAACGGATGGTTACTGCGGGGACGGATAGGTCACAAGCAACATTACAAGCATTACATTTCATTCTTCTAACGTCCTTCTGTGATAGATCTTCAAGTAAGATAGTGCATTATTTATTTGCATGTGAAGTATGATAAAAAAAAACCGAAAAGTTAAACGGGCATTAGGTACGAGATATAAAAAAAATAAAATGAGATTTTTTTTTTGTTAAATCATTAATGAAAGTGAAATAGTGAAATAATAATTCGCTTTTAGAAGACAGTTTGGTTCAATATTGTCAAAAAAAAGCTACGAAACATCGCTGATGAATTATTCACAAGTGAATAACTCGACCTCATTGAATCTGTATTCATGTGACCTTCCATTTAACCCTTTAGCTAGAGATGGGTTACGCATGACTTAGGCGTATTCAGTAATTAAAAAGGAAAAGAATGTCAACATTGAAAGTGAAAAAAAGGTAAACAATTTGATTGACTGATTCGATCCACAAAAACTTCTCCTTACAAAGGTAAAAACGATGATGAACATATATTTTTAACCTATAATATGAAATCAAACAGATCTAGAAAAATCCAATTGCACGAGTTCGCTATCTATTTATATCTATATTTATGTTTATATCGGTTCTATGACCGTCGATAGTCTTCGGAGGTCACCTCGATGGTTAATTAGATGGCTTCTATACTAGAATACACACAAAATGCTGATACATATTATCGAGCCCATGCATTGTAAATTGTTTATTTTAGACTTTTTATAAATTGGATATATACGTTTTAGTATGTAATAAATAAAATATGAGAATTTGAGTCAAATCGGTGATAATGAATTTGACAGCTAATGCCCCTTTAAGTAAAAGGATAATGAAGAGAGGGTAAAGCAAAGCAAATATTAAAGCTACAGTAAATGAACAATTATGAATTATGAGTATGCACGATAAAACTTCTTAAAGTTTACTATCTGTTATAAAGTGTCCAACAAGCTACACCGCCTCAGTGGTCTTGGTGTGGTTAAGTTACCTTGGAAGTAGGAAATCGTTAGTTTGATCCTAGTCTGGTCAAGACGTTTGTTCTCTTCTTTTTTTCTTATCAGATTTTAATACCAATTAGAAACTGGTACTTGCTTTTCCGCGAAGCAAGTAACAATTGGGAGTAAGACAGAACGTCAGAATAATGTCTGATGGTAGCCAGATTTGTCTGTCAGTCAACTGTTACTCTGTAAACCAGCACGTTCGAAATTGAATTCAGTGCTCCAGTAAACGTCACACTAGGTAAATTTGTATACCATTAATATTTTATCGTCCTGTATATCAATCCAATATTACTCACTGGATGCTCATCAAACCAAATATTACTCCATATATATATAAATAAAAAACATAATTAGAATATCATTATTTGGATGAAGTCCAGCGTTTATTCATTTTCATCAAATATGTAAATAGATATAAGAAGATGTGGTATGAGTGCCAATGAGACAACTCTCCATCCAAGTCAAAATTTATAAAAGTAAAAGTTTACATATAAGTCATAACCGGGTAGCATTTCCATACAAACCAACAGAATGGATTAATACTGGGATTAAGTTAATAGAAAACAACTCTGCCATTATGCCGAAGTCATGTCTGGAGGAATTTGTTGAACAAATTTCGTTATATGTGTAATATTTGTTGTCAGTATGGGATGATATACGGTGCAAAACCTACATAGATATATATAAATCATGTAATAGTCGTTCGTTCGATAAAAACATTTAGGATAATAGGTCTGTGAAGATACTAGTTCAGATAGTTTAAAGGTAACAATATTATGTTTTGCCAAATTCATATTTCTTCAAGTTACCCTGGAATTATTTTGTGATGTATATTTTATACTTTTTTTGAAAATTTCTATCATTTTTGTCTGGATGAAAAGATTCCAAGAAATACATGTATTGTGAAATCGATGGAAGCAATACTTGATAAATTTTACCGATAGAACAAGATAAAGGAATGGGTTACACAAATCTGGATTGATGTAATATCGTTTGATGAAAATTTACATTAATTTAAAATTTACCAGGTTTTATCGAATAATTAAAGGTGTTACTGTAATAAAAGTTCCAGGAGCTTCCCTGTTTGTATTGAACAAAAGTAAGTATATTGTCTATATATATTTGCAACAACTAAGTTCCAAGTTTGTAATATATTATATTACCATAAAATTTAATCCAGTTCGTAATATTTGGTACATGATAAAATAGGGAATGGAAATGGGGAATGTGTCAAAGAGACAACAACCCGACCAAAGAGTAAAAAAACACAGCCGAAGGCCACCAATGGGTCTTAAACACAGCGAGAAAATCCCGCACCCGGAGGCGGACTTCAGCTGGCCACTAAACAAAAATGTGTACTAGTTCCGTGAAATTGGACGTCATACTAAACTAAACATATAAATGAACTAAAATTAAAAAACATACAAGACTAACAAAGGCCAGAGGCTCCTGACTTGTGTATGATGTCCGTGTACCGATGGTAATATTTAGTAAATGTTTTGACTAGTTTGTGTTATCGAAAACCCTGGTGTACTAATTTTTCAGTAATGCATAGATGGTTGATTTCGAGGACTTTTACGGTACTAAAGTAGAAAGTATGTATTAGATGTAAGCTTCTGATATCTGAGGAGCGTTAGCCCCAAATATATGAGACGATTACATCTGATTTACATAGAAGTAATAAATAAATATTTAATCTTTTCTCTTGTTCTAAAAAGAGCAATTGATAAAAAAGGAAAAAGTGTCATTATCTCAAATTTTCCAGATGCATTAACACTTTCAGAAGATGTTTTGTAGTTATGGATTTGGAATGAAATCTTAATTGCATCTATTTTTTCTATCATCAAATTGATACCTTATCACAGCTTTTGTATGGGAATATGAATTGCTGCCTTGTCTTGTCTTTTTCTGGTTTAATTGCCAAAATATTAACTTTTTGCTGATTAATGATAACACTTCTATTCTAATAGATAAAAACTCAATAAAAAATACAAAAAGATAACAAATATTACTCCAGGATGTTCAACAAAAATACTTTGTATTTGGCTATTAAGACAATCATAACAACTTGAAGTGATCTAAGGTTCTTCAAAAAGTTATGCGTATTCCCCAGTCAAAAACCGTTAGTGAGTCACATTCAGAACGGATAAAACTCGACAAGAGATTCTCCGGCTTTGAGCGTTTCAGATGAAGGTAAATTTAGAAAAGCGCTTCTGACGCATGAAATTTATAAAGTTTTGTTTTCATTTTTTTCGTCACTTTGGGTAATATGTCGCATGTCGAAAATAAAATTTTAAATATTCAGTTGATTTTGGCAAAAAAATTCGGATTGTCTTTTATTTAAACTTGCGGGTACAAAATTTTGGAAATTAAATTAAATTAGGGAATGGCTCTTCCTCATGAAAAGCTCCAATAACTTGGATTTTACTTTACCGTTCTTCCTTTTTGGTTTTGACAGGTTTTCAACGTTGCATGAAATTAGTTCTTTAGATTTTGAAATATGTCTGCCTCTTTCATGACCTAAAGACATTTACTGTGACTAGGACACGTACCAAAAACACATATCAAAAATGAAAATGATTTTAATCATCTCGTGGATTCACATTATTATACACGATTGAAGTAGAAATAACACACAATACTCTAAAATGAGTATATGATCAACTTTTCCAGAGGGAGTTGTAGTCCAGTAACAAAACGAATAAATAAGTAATTCACAGACAAAATATACCAATATATAACACTAGTACTGAAGCGCTAGCCACTAGATTTTATAGTCCACCTGTAGCTATATTGGCTCAACGAGTAAAATTTGAATTAACCAACTTTGTTCTGAAATTTCTTGATGTGCGTTGACCATAGCAATTTCTATATGCTTTACTTCGGTTGCTAGACAAAATTCAAATTCATTCGACACAAACGTCCTTATTTTCTATCAAAGGGTAAAACGCACTCTCCAGTAACGCAGGTACTAAGCTTCGATTTGAAAAGTCGATGTTATTATGTAACAGAATACGAAATTAAATGCACAGAACTAACCTTTTTGGGAGTTGTTGTTCTGTTCGTTTGCCGGTCTTTCTAATGTCTCTATATATCACAGATATAATCGTTTATTGACTAATTTTGTGTTCAAACATGCAAAACATTCTTCGATTAGACACGTTTCTGCATATTTCATACAGCACTCATGATAAAACACTCTTATATCACACGATTTCCGTTTCGTTGTCAACATAAACAGTCCAAACTGTGATAGAAATGTCTGGAGACATATAAATTGTTGCTATTCATTTGTCAAACTACATTAGTTACACTTTAATGCGACACAGTAAAATGCAGATACACACAAAAGAATTCTCTTAGGATCTCCAGACTTGGTCACTTGACATTTGGAAATGAGAATTATAACTAAATGGGAAGATTACGTTCAGATAAGATTT